CACATTATCCGCAATCTGGGTCTTCAAATTTTATATTGTTGCAAATTTTTATATTGTTACGAACTGTATAGAAATCTGAAAAATCTTTATATACTTATAAAAACTTTAACAAGATTTTATTATCATAGAAGTTGAATTACATTTTACTTATTTTTAAAAAGTTTTAATTCTATCAGAAATCACAATTAAAAAATTAAGCCTTAAGTCCAACATTATCAGAGTCAAATACTTCAATTATAGATGACAGACTTAACCATCTGCAATATAAATCTTTTTAATATAAACAAAGTTTTACTCTCGAATGTTTCTGAAATAAAGAAGGGCGGAATCTGATTCCTTCTAAAATATCTTGTTAAAAAACTTTGATAACTGTAATAGATATGTTGAAGAGTGAATTTTTTCATTTTTTTGAAAGCCAATAATAAAAAAAATTGGACGGCAGGATAAAAATATGATTGCAGACAGAAGGTTAAAAACTTCTATGATTATTTTACAAAAATAGAGCTTCAAAGAAAAAGACAATAATTTTAAATAATGAAACACGTAAATAAAACTATGCATAATTGAAACCGACCTCCCAAAAACAATTCGCAATGACATTTATAAATGATAACAGCGATTTTCACGATGATCCAAATGGACGTATGTAAACGAATGTGTATGTCGACGTGTGTCATTAGATATTTACGCACGTCGAAGCTCGTCGTCGACGATTCCGTCATATATGAGTTTTACTGCCTCTACGTCGGATCTTACTTAAAGTAATAAAGTGGAACCCGAGATGGGTTAGCAATCCGGACGGTGGATCGTAAATTTCTCATACCGTACGGTTGCTCGCCCGACCGTCTCCTCGAGCCCTCCAACCTCTCAGCCCCTTCCCCCGCCCTCCCTCCTACCTTCTACTAGCTCGTCGAGCACGATTTCAACCCTATTCACTCGCCGTGACCCTCTGTGCACCCGCTTTCTATATAGGCCCTTACCATCGACAAAGCAACGAAATAACAGATTATTACAGCGATGATTGTTTCGGATATGTGCTACCATCAATATGGTGGTTTTAGATTTAACCGGATTATTAATGGATTAGCTAATTTAATAAATCGAGCGACTAAATACTGCTGTTCATGTTTATACAACAGGTGCTTAGATTCTCGGTAATCGTAATTGCTTAAAAATCAAGTATTTAAAGAACAAAATTTAGGTATAAATATAACATAATTGAAACTCAGCGATTGCAGTTATGTAGACATTCAATGAGATCTAGAAAATCAGTATCATAACTTTAATTTTATTATTTGTTCATTATAAATTTTATCATTTGTTTTATAATATATGCTTATAATAGAAATTATTTAATTATTATCATTTTAATTAAAACGCAATTATATACATCAAATTGCAAAAAAATACAGTTAAATATTTTATTTAACTCTGTGTTGTAACAGTGTAAATATTTCACGGTTTATTAAATTTACATCTTGACATTTCTCTTATTTATATGCTTATTAAATTTTTTATTAAGAAAGTACTTGGAAATTATGAAAAAGAATTCTTAAGATATTTGATCTAAATAATTTAATGATCCGAATATTATGAGTGATTCTTATAATCGTAACGACCATTAATGAATTATATAATTCAAACTTTACAAAACTACCTTACAAAACTAACTATATATGCATTAAAATATAATACAAAAATAATATCACTGCTGATTATTATTACGTATTTCAATTAATTTATGTATACCAACTGTCTAATAGTTGCTACCACAATTAACTACCACAATTTCAAGCGTCTGATCTATAAAACAAGCTGTGCTCGTGATTATCAGAGAAAATATTGTCAGCGTAATTATCAATTAATGCATATATATAAAATTATCAATTATTGCCTATATCATTTATCATCATTTATTATGTATATAAAAATGTTACTAATTATACTCAAAATACAAATGTTATCAATTTTTATATACATTACACGTTTGAATTAATTCATTTTACTATAATAATGTATAGAAAAGTTTGTCATATACTACGATCGTAAGGAATTTATTTGAAGGAATTATCATAATTTATATTACAGATAATTTATATTACCTGTACTATATACAATAGTACTACGATTGCATGAAGTATACTTTGACGAATTTGTCATATGACAATAGTTTCGATTTTTTTTTCAAAAAAAGTTCTAAATGCAATAAATTAGAGTAAAACAATATAGTTAGTTTCACTCCGATTTATTACATCGCTAATGTATGTCAGTTTAAAATTTTCTTCGAAAAAGAATAGACTTTGTGTTATATTTCAAATAGTAAGGTCATGATAAATACTGTCAGCTTGTTACTTGAGACATTGACACAATATAAAATATTTAAAAGCAATATAATGATTTGAATCCAAAAATCTGAACTTGTATTCTTGAATCTATATTATACGTGAAAATCTATAATATACGTAATGTAATACTTTGTATATATTTTTTGAGAATAAAACTTGTTACATGAAAAATACAATAATCATGCAACGATTTTTTTCATCGAACATAAAAATAAGATTTATTTGTCTATCTAATATTAACGGTATAGTTTCAAAGCACAGTTGATTTTGATTCAGAAAAGCAATAATATTCAGAAAATCTTTACGTTATGCCGATCGCTCTAATTGGCACACCCGGCAAACACACGCACTCGTTATGCACTATTAATGGATAAAATCAGTGATTAATTGCAGGGTCGTCACGCTCGCGGCTTTCCGAATCGATGCTGTCAAAATTATCACGACGGTTGATCAGAGGCGTGCAATCGACGCAATGTCGGAATGTTTCAAAATTGTAATCAATTCGAATTTGTGATGGGAATTTGACACTTTCTATGTTTATTAACAAGGTACGATAATTAGCAATATTTTATTTAATGATTTTCAGAAACGTTAATAGAAAATGTAATGTATAGATGCAAAGAGAAGCAAAAATAATTTTTCTTTAAATTCCAAATTAGCATTAATTTGCAATGGAAGTTAAACCAATTAAATGTATCATGTCAAATCACGCGATGTAACGTGATGAAGATCTGTTCGTATTAGTTTACATTTTTTTGCTTTCAAAATCTTCGTTTTTTTCTTTTTTCATCATTTCGATCTTAGGTACATACAAGTAATAGTATGTACATGAATATCACATAAACATATATAACGTGACATATATTTTCCTGGCCGGAATCAGATTACGCATGAAATTTAACTTGTGAGAACAAACAAATTTTAGCTTCTTTTATTTTGATTAATTAAATTTTAATCTCTCAATCTTCAATGCATAATCTGATACTTATTCTTATCTTATAAAAAAAAAATCATGCTCATCTTTGTTTTTAAATTTGTGTTACTTCCTAATTTTATAAATAATATTGCTTTCGATTGCAATTGATCTCTTCTTCGAGATATTACATGTATTGTAATTACAAATTTACGCTTTTGATCCATAGCATGATAACAAATAAACAAATACTCTTATAATAATACACAATAGAAAATAATTATTATTATTATTGCTAATAACTGATATATTTTAATTAATTTAATTAATACATTCGTATAAAAAAATATTCTATGTAATTCCTTGTAGAAGTAATGCTACAATCACACGAAGTTCACTTGATGGAACTATTGTACGATCAATATGATATATTAAAATATGATAAATTTTTTATCTGCTTGCAATAGATTAAATTCATGATCTCGAAAAAAATAATTTTGATAACAACATTATTTAAAAAAATATAGATTAATTATTTAACATGCTTTTTAATTAGGTTTTATTAGTGTCTAAGAAAAGATTCTGAAAACATTCGTGATAAGAAAAAAATTAATAAAATTTTGTGACTATTATGCAACATTAAACAGTAATTAAGGAAATAAATATGAAAATATTCGTCTTTTGCAGAAATACTGGTTTGGGAAATTGTTGGAATGTTGTGTTATTTTCTCTTCTTATGTGAATAATTATGAGCGTACAATTAACAGGAATATTAACATAATAATATTTCTGTACTATAAAGATAAATAGAAAAATTTCTAAGCTAATCCCTATAAAATACAATTTTTACTGCGATGCAGCGAAAAGGTACTGTTGGCGACATCGTTCGGAGAATCTCCAAAGTTGCTCTCCATGTCTCCTTCATTCCAATTGATGAAAGAAATCATTTTTATGTAATTTTTGGAAAGAAAATTAACAAACTACTATAAAATCGCTTTCATATACAACTCTTCCCTGGCGAAAATAAAAATCGAAGCCGAATATAAAGGGAATATAAGTCGAATATAAGGAGAAAATAACAGAAGCATAAACAGAAGCATTTAGGAAGCAAAATTTAAAGCAATGAATCGTAAAAGAGGCGTTTACGCTTCTTTTATATAATTTAGACCCGGTTGTTCCATCTTTTAATACATTTTACCTGTTGGGTAAGTAGCAAGATTACAATTACATGCGCGGTTGCCAGATTTACCTAACAGATAAAATTTACTAAAAAGAGCAAAAACCGATCCTTAGCACGGACTCTATATAACTTTTACATGATCTAGCACTGTGATTTAGCACGGATTCGCACCACATTATTATCGACACCGTGATTTTATCATCAATCTAGTAGCTACATAACTACGTAGTTCTTAAATCAAAAATAGCTATACTGGCGCTAATATTATGCGATTTCGACGTCGAAATAATCACTTCTCAAGTTTCCCTTCATAGTTACAAATATTTACATTTACCTCAACGAGTTGTATTATTTACAAACGAGTATATTAGAATCACGAATATTTAACCCAATTTTCACGCACTTTTGTAGCCCTTCGACTGTCTTCGAGATGCAACTTTGATTAACGTATTCAAAATCCGGCGATCATAGGCAGGTGGCGCTCACGGTGTCATGGCCTTTTCCTGTTCACGCTTGCACGAACGAAGACGTGAACGTAAGTTACAGAGTAGGAATAGAGGTCGATTTAAGACAAATTCGTCGCGAGATAATTCGGATCGGCATCGTGGAGCAGTCGAATATAAACGGGAGCCGTGAGTGATCGTGCAGGTGCGGAAATATGTGCGAGATTGGCGCGAGAGGAACACGCCCGAAACAGCGGTACATGTGACCGCGTGGCCACATGTGTTTTGCCAGTTTCGTGTCTGTCGGATCTTTTCATTAAAAATTTAACGAATTAGAGTGTTCGCCTTGCCTGCGATCAACTTGCCGCGACTCGGAACCGCATCGCGTCTTATCAATTTATCATCCAAGTTTTCGCTGTTAATGGTTTGGCGTGTAGTACCAAACAAAGCGACTAGCCGCTTCTGAAGATTTATATTTATATTTCCTTCTTTCTCTAATGATTATCGTTAACGAATTTATTCCAATGCTGCAAATTATTTTTTCAATTTATTGATAAAGAAAATTATGAAAGAAAAAAATTAATGAAGATTTTTAATTATAAAATTATGAAAGTTTTATATGTATCCTAATTTTATATTCATAATTTATTAAAAGCCATTTTAATTGTGCTAAATTTATTATTATTTTTTTGAATAGATTGGAAGAGAGAAAATATTAACTTAGTATGATATGAAAAATAATTTGATGTAGTTTTAGAAATTTCTGAAAATTTGATGTGTATCAACATAAATATATTTCAGAAAAAATAATTTAGAATAATATTAAAAAAAAACCATTCTATAGTTTGTTAATAGACAAATTTTTTCTTCGAAGAAAATTCTGTAAAATATATATATTTTTATTGATGCAGCAAATTAGAGTGAAAGAAATATAGTATAGTGTCACTTCAACTTGCTGCATTAGTGAATATTAGTTTGAAACTGTGTTTGAAAAAGAACAAGTATTATAATGAATTATAGAATTATTTTTCTGATATTTTATATTATTTTTCTTGAATATTTATGCTGATATACATCAATATTTATTACAATACTTATTAAATATAGATTGTTTTACTCCAACTTGCTGCATCAGTATATATTAATTCAGAACTTTCATTGGCAACGAACAGAGCTCTAATCTTGTATTTTATTGCAAGAACAAATAACAGTGTTCTCTTTTTTCTTTGACAGATAAACAATGGATGACAAAGAAGCTTTCGACGATATGGTGGTGGCAACCACAAATACGTTGCCGGTAGCCTTACCGGCTGAACTGCCAGAGATCAAATTGTTCGGACGTTGGAATTGCGACGACGTACAAGTAAACGACATGTCTCTGCAGGATTACATCGCAGTTAAAGAAAAAAATGCTAAGTACCTTCCACATTCAGCAGGGCGTTACGCGGCAAAGCGTTTCAGAAAAGCCCAGTGTCCTATTGTGGAACGTCTTACGAACTCTCTCATGATGCACGGCAGAAATAATGGAAAGAAATTAATGGCTGTGCGAATTGTTAAACACGCCTTCGAAATCATTCACCTTCTCACTGGCGAGAACCCTCTGCAGGTGAGTTCGCTATTTAAAGTTTATATTTAAGTTTATTATATTAAAGTAAAATTTATCTTCATAATGTTGCTTTATATGAATCACATTTATTTATATAATGCAATTTTGCTTGCATAATATAAATATATATGATGAAATGAATATATAATCCATTATATAAATCAAATTTATTGATTATATACAATGTTTATTTAAATAAATTATTACACTTTTCGAACATTTATGCTTCAGGTTCTCGTCACAGCCATTATCAACTCTGGCCCAAGAGAAGACTCCACGCGTATTGGACGCGCTGGTACTGTAAGGCGACAGGCCGTGGACGTATCCCCGTTACGTCGTGTTAATCAAGCTATTTGGTTGTTATGTACTGGCGCGCGAGAAGCTGCATTCCGCAACATTAAAACGATTGGCGAGTGTCTAGCCGACGAACTTATTAACGCCGCTAAGGGTTCATCGAATTCATACGCGATCAAGAAGAAAGATGAATTGGAACGCGTTGCCAAGTCCAACCGATAAATAACTTTATACATGCGGAAAAAATAAATAAACGTTCTATCTTTAAATTGTTCTTATTTATTTGCGATCCATCATTTTTTATCCAGAAACTTCTAACAAGTTTAATGACTTTATAGTCTGTTGGAGATGAAAGGATATATCCTAATTATTTAAATGCTATGTGTGCTTTCTAATTTCTTTTAAAAATAGAATGTATATTTGAGATAAAGAAAATTTAAAAGATTAATTTATCTTGTTCTCGAACCTTTAGATGACTTTTCCATTTTTGCAAAGCTGAGAAAAAATTCAAGTTACAAGGAATTTATATTCAATATGTATATATTAATATACTTTCTCCGAAAAATATACGTAACATAAAATAGTTTCAAAAGCTGTCGTTTATTGCGCAGATTCACAACGGCATTTTCCATACTGATGCGTTCTGAAACTCATCATTACATTCTCTTATCCATAAGAGTCAACAAGACACAATACTATATTTTGAGGTTAGAAAACTGATGTAAAGAGAGATCTCTAATATATCGAGTGTTAGGTAATACTGCTCTAATTATGGCAAGTGTACTCAAAAAGGTAATTTATTTATGCATATAACAATGTATGCTCTTAATTAGAACGTCATAACTATACGGTGATCATATATTTTTTATTGTAAAAGAAAGTTTTATTTTAGGTAGCTATCTGTTAAATTTAGTAATTTTTTTCTCCTTAAACTCTATTTTGTACTTTAATAATACAGGAAATTCCTTTCTAATTAGCATTCCAATGTCTTCTAATATATTAATGAACGAATTTTTATGGAAACTACTGACAAATTTAGTTTATGCAAGAGCAGTGTAACAGCTCGAACAGAATAACAAAATCACAATAACATAAAAATAATGTCAAAATGAGTTATGATTGACTGGAAAATGACTTAACAATAAAATTTCTAATCATTTTGATGTTATGATGACTTTTACTTTAGTTGATATACCGTTCAAGAAAAAAAATTCATAAATTAATTAATAAATTTCTGACAATCACAAATTAGTGGAAAATAAAGTCCTCAAATTTTCAAGTTTATTCTTTATTTTCTCTAAGAAAATATGATCCGTAATCATATTCACATATATTTTCATTACTCTCGACAATTAACTCTTGCATGAGCAAAATTCACTTATTGACATAAATATCTTTTATTTGCAGTCTACATATATAAAAGGGTTAGCTGTTTGCAAGTATCCTCATCAAGAATTAATACCGCTGTACAATAGAATTTTGAAAGTGCTACAAAAGTTTCCAAAGGATTACACTTATCGGACAGAAACAGAAGAAATTATCAAGACTAGATTAACAATCATGCAACAGGTGAAAAATACTCATTGAAGCAGCAATTATCCTGTGCAATAATATCGGCTGCTTTCCTCTTAGATAGTCGACACTAGCATTCCTCTTGGCATTCAATGAATAATAAAGACAGAACAACATTGTTGTGTCGATTGTATTTCTTAAAAGGAAAGCTCCTATCATATGCTGTTTCTAATCGAGCATTACATTTACAGAATGAAAATATACAAGTTGTAGAAGAAAAAATAAATTGTGGACAAGTGGAGGAGCTTATAATACAAGCAAAGAACGAGTTATCTCTGGCAGAAAAAATGTTGATTTGGAAACCATGGCAGAAATTAACACAGGAAGCACCACTCAATCAGTGGATGTGGCCACCGCATAAATAATTTTAGTTTGTTAATGAAATTTGTACATAGTATCTAACTAAATGCGAATAAATAGAAAGCGCATTATACAAGTTCACAATATTAATGTATTGTTATTTAATAAATATTCCTTGCATTTCTAGTTGTTTTTTCAGAAGATATGGAAAGCTTTGCAGAAGATATGGAAAGCTATTAAAAAATATGATTACAGATTTGAGAGCAAAATGAATAGATAAATCTTTAAAATTTCTTTTATCTCAAATCATGTTAGATACATTTTTCAGAGGAATTAAAATATTTATAATTTTTTAAATTTGCCTGGTAAACAATTTTTCATATATGATATGAAAAATTTTTATATGTATAAGTATGTATAAACATATATAAATATTCATAAATATGTATAATCATATATGAAATATATCCATACATGTTGATAAATGAAAAATTCTTTTGTAAAATTATTTTTCAGTATAATAGAAATAATAATAGTAACGTGAAAATATAAAAAATAATTAAAAGCATAATTTTCGCGTTGTTTATTTTAGAAAAAAATAAGTTTAGAAAAATGTAAAAAAAATTGCTCATGCACAATTATTCATAATTTTATAGATAATTTTATAGATCATAATTATACAGAAATAATTTTTTACATTTCTTCAAAGTTGATTTTTTTCTAAAACAAATAGTGTGAAGATTACTATTTTAATAATTTTTTATAATTTCACATTACTATTATTTCTATTATACTAAAAAGCAATTTTACAAAAGAAAGAGGGATGTATGAACATGGATATATTTCATATATAATATGTTTATACATATTAATACATATTAATACATGACAATGTGTAATTTTCTTTAATAATTATGTTATAAAATTCCATTATATGAATGGGACGACTACTGATAAAAAATGTCTCTTGAGACTTATATTTCAAACTTGTTTTAATATTATGGAATTGAAGTGGGTTTAATTATTACACATCCATTACTCCAATAAAAATGTTAAATTACTCACCGACATAATGAGTAACAGTGGAGTTAAATCTGCAACGATGATTCTGTAACAAATAAATTAAAATCCAAATTAAAACAGGGTAAAAGAAATAATTATTTAAAAAAATAATTTCTGTATGAACGCATACAATTCTCTAAAAAATAATCACGCAATTTTGAAAATATAATTTTTATAAGTATCGAATTTTTTATTCATTATTTAATTAAATACAAAATAAATTATATATTCTCTAAAAAAGGTTTTAGCAAGAATAAATTTGTATAAAATTTTAAAGTAACTTTCTTTTTATCTAATTATTATTTTTAAATCATTTCAAATAAAATTATTTAAAAACAAGGAAAAAAAAATTAATTTTACACAAATAAAAAATATTTACCGCAAGGTTGCTCCACCGGTGCACGATGCCTCTCTCAGACCTCCTCCTCCTCTCAGAATCGGGTTGGCATCCTCTCGCACAGGACACTCGCGTAAAACACTCGCGAATAATACATTATAAACGCGCGCGGACTATAACTTGAGTCAGATAACTTGAACGGCACTCCCGAAGTAAAACGCGACGCGACGAACCGGCTGCGGTTCGTTCATTTTCAAGTAAATCGGCGATGTTAGCTTCCTCATTGGATTTTTACACGAAGAGAACGATTTTACTCAATATCTAAAAATTTATCTAGATATACATTCAGACATATCCGAAAATTTTTAGATGCTTGAGGAAAATCATTCTTTTCGTGTAAATATCCTCTGGGTACTGAGCTCTCTCACCACATCAAGGTGTATCCATGAGAAGGAAGATAATCTGAAAAATATATATAATATATAGCTATTATCTATATTACTATACAATCGGCTAATTTTTAGAAACGAATATCAAATACATGTTTGCAATTCGTTATCATTGCGAAAATAAATTCAGAGGAGATAAAAGGATTGAATCTTATACATAGATGATGTCTGTAAGATATAATTAGAGTCAATGAAATGGACCAGAGATTAATAAAAAAAGAGAAATGTTTCTTTTATTACCGATAAATAGTTCCAAAGTTACGATTAATTTTTAAATGGATCGTACAATGAAAAGTACACAAAAACAAAAAATCAATTAAATTATTAAACTATATTAATTGTGAAAGCAAGAATTATGTTATTTGAGCATGAGAGTATTCATATTAATGTTGCTTTTTTATAATTCGTATGATACAGACAAGTAGCCAGTATCGCTGATTTTATAATATGCGTTACCATTAATATTTCGATGGTTAGATTATCGGTGATCTTGAAGTGAGGATGGCACGGGGTGACACGGGCAGCGCGTCATATTTATGCGTGATTACCGCGCAGTAATTCCCTTAGTAATTGCCAAAGCTCGTCGGGCTTATAGGCATGTCCCGTGCCGCTCTTCTTCACATTTCTTTTTGAAACGTATGAAAAATACTAGATATAATATGAAACGTTGTATTTTATGAATATTCACATAATACGATTATTAGTATGATTATTCATAAAGTACAACGTTCCGTATTATATTTAGCATTTTTCGCGATTATGTTTCAAAAAGGAATGTAGAGAGCGGCTCGCGACACGACTACGTGCTCATACGAGTTTCGGTAAAGGAATTATTGCGCGGTAACTGCGTAAATATGACGCGCCGCTCCGTGCCACCCCGTGCCATCCCCACTTCTCCACCAAGGTCGCGCGCTGATAATCTAACTGTCGAAATATTAATGTTACGCATATTATAAAATCAATAAAATAATCGTTATGTTTTAATATTCTTCTATGAATATTATATGATACTTTATTATACTTTTGTTTTATTTCTTCAATTGTTACGCACACAACTCATCTATTTTAAGTCGGTATTCATAGTCAGAGCTTATATTCAAGACCGTCTCAAGTACAGTCTTAAGAAATCACGAATTAGTGTCTTAAGACATAACTTAAGACACTTGAAATAAGAACGGATGAATATCGCCCTTAGATATTTCTAATTTATATCTCTAATTATATTATATATTTAGATACTCTAAATATATAATATGAATGATATTTATCCATTACTATATTCAGTCCAAATTTTTTATAATTTTAAAAATGTTTGCATTTATCTTTATTTCAAGAATGTATTATTTATAATTAACTTTTATTTAAGTATAAATCATCAAAGAAAATAATATAGATTGAGATATAATCCTTAGCACACACCTTAGTTTTGAGCAATTAGTCGAGCATCCTTACATAATTCATCAATTCGCATTCGTGGATATCTAATTTTCGTGGATTAATGTAGATTAATGCGCGACACGCGGAGCGACTCGTGCCACATGTCTGTCTC